ATCCATTCACCTCAGCCTCCCAAAGGCACGGGATTACAGGCTGAGCCACCGAGCCTGGCTCCTTCTTCCTCTTTCTGCCCATCTTCCCTGTTCCCAGCCCTCTCCACAGACATGGGGACATCAGGCTGGCCTTGGTGTGTCTGACCACAGGCCCCGGCAGCTGGGGAGGGAGTACACATGCCCACCCCCCAGAGGCTCAGACTCCATGAGTCTCCATCCTTTACTCGCATCTTTTGACCCTCGGGGGCGCGAGCTCTGGCCTGTGCCTCTTTGAGCCATGAAAATGAGCAGCTCACCTGGTGCTTGACCACATACCCCCAGTGCTCCTCACAGAGCCCAAGGCAGGTGCTAGGATGAACCCATTGTATAGATGAGGAAACTGATGCGTCCTCATAATAACCCCTGCCTCTGTGGAGTCATGCCCCTCTTCGGGAGTGGGGTGATCTAGGGGTGTACCTCCAATGAGGAGAGATGACAGAAGGTCTGGGGGTCACTTCTGAGATAGCTGTGAAAAGATGGCAGCCTCCATTTTGGGTCCCACCCCCATCTCATTTGGACATCTCGCTCTGAGCAAGCCACCGCCAGGCTGCCAGTAGCTCTGTGGAGAGGCCCAGGAGGTGCCTCCATCCAGCGGCCAGCGGGTAAGCTGGCAGCAGAGCCTCCCCGGTCGAGCCTTCAGATGAGAACTCAGCCCCGTGACACCATGGCTGAAGCTTGCAAGAGACCCTGAGCCAAGACCCCCAACTAATCTGCACCCAGATCCCAACTCACGGAGATGGTGAGATACTCAATGTGTACTGTTTTTTTCTTTTAAAAAAAAATCCTCCACAACAGTTATCTTAGAATTTTTTTTAAAAAAAACTATTCTCTTCATTATTATTATTTTGATTTTTTATTATTTTTTTATTATTCTTATTTTGATTTTTTTAAAAAGTCTCAGCCGGGCTCAGTGGCTCAGCCTGTCATCCCAGCACTTTGGGAGGCCGAGGCGAGTGGATTGCCTAAGCCTGCGGATTCGAGACCAGCCCGGGCAACTTGATGAGACCTCCTCTCTACAGTAAACAAAAAATTAGCTGGGCGTGGAAGCACACACACCTGTAGTTCTGGCTACTTGGAAGACTGAGGTGGAAGGATTGCCAGAGCCCAGCAGGTCGACGCTGGAGTGGCTGTGAGCATTCCACTGCACTCCAGCCTGGGCTAGGGAGTGAGACTCTAACTAAAAAAAAAAAAAAAGTCTCATGTTGTTGTCCAGGTGAGAGTGCAGTGGTATGACCATAACTCACTTGCAGCTTCAAACTCCTGGGCTCAAGTGATCCTCCTTCCTTAGCCTTCCGAGTAGCTGGGACCACAGACATATGCCACCACACCCAGCTGTTGCTTTAAACAGCTAGGTTTTGGGGATATTTGTTACGCAGTCAAATATAACTTATATGGAGGTCCAGAGAGCTTGCGTGAGCCGCCAGTCACATAGCCATGAACCCAGAACTGTGACCCCAAGCCCACGCTCCTAGCCCCTACCCAGCAAGGCACCCTCTTCTCTGCCTCAGCATAAGGGCCTGTTCTGAGCAGTGAGTATTATGAGATGTTACACAGGACAAAAGGTGCTCGGCCTGGAGCTGATTCAGAAAAGCCCACCTGTTGTCGAAGAAGGCACGGACAATTTTAGATCGGATCGGGTTGAGCTCCAGGTCAGGGACATTGTTGAAGTTCTCCTTGCTGATTTCCAAGAAGGAGAGACACCGGGAAGAGAGGGAAAACAGAGAGGTATCAGCGGCATTTTCATCACGTTCTCAGGCTGCATCAGTGATCGCTAACCAGCTCCACAGGACTTGATCTGAGCCAGGAGACAGAACCTGAGTACACTCATGTATCTGTCCCGTTCTCCAACCCTGAGACTGGGCGAGAGCATGGAGGAGATGGAGGCTTGAGATACTTTTGAGAATCTGAGAGATGGACCAGACATTCACCTCCAGAAAAACGCAGAGACATGGGACTTGTACCCAATTCTGGGGACCCATCCTTAGACCCTCAGCACAGGGGACTCTGCCCTCAAGCCAGAGCAGTGGGGTGCTGGCTCAGAGCTCTAGAAAACAGTGGCAGGTCCCAAAGGCTAAACTCAGAGTGAATATACGACCAGCAATTCGTTCCTGGGCTATGCCCACGAGAAATGAAACCCTGCATGTGAATTTCACAGCAGCTTCACTCAGTATAACCATAGGATAGAAACTACCCGAATGTCTGTCAACCGATGACTGCAGAAATAAGAGGTGGTCTGTCCAAATGAAGGAAGAGTATTCAGTCGAGGAAAAGGACAGAAGCACTGATCTGTGCAACAGCATGGATGAACCCTGAAAACACGATGCTGAGTGGGGGAAACCAGATGCAAGGCCACAGGGTGTATGGTGCCGCTAATATGAAACTTCAGAAAAGGTAAATCCACAGAGAGGCTCTCAGGCCATGGTTCCTGGGGCTGGAGACAGGGGACGTGGCTGATGGGTACAGTGTTTCTTTTTGACTTGTTCTAAAGTGGACTGGATACTTTAAATGGTGAATTATATAATTTGTCAATTGCACCTCCGTAAAGGTGTTACAAATTTCTCGTGTCTTTTTTTAATTTAAAAATTTTCTTAAATGTTTTATTTTAAAGATGTGGAATACAACAGGGTTAAGCATACAACTGTTCGTTATCATTATGCAGGTACCCTTGTTGATGAGGTGTGTCCCCCCTCCCCCAGCAGAATACCACTACCACCAATCCCACACCCCCTCCCCCAGCAATTTCCTACTACTGACTATCCTTTTCTTAGAGTATTATGATAATCTAACAAGTCTTTTAAAACACAAAAAGATCCACTCCACTATGACTCTATTTGTATAAAGACCCAGAAGTGACAACGTGAACCCATGCAGCTGAGTCGGGGTGATTTAACCACCCTGGAGGTGTGACCAGGAGGAAGCGCAGGGAGCTTCTGGGGGCTGGGGAGGTACTGCTGCGTGTTTCCTGGTGAAAGTCCCTCCCCCTGTGACACGCACACTTTTCTCTATGCAGGTCACACTCTCGCCGCACGAGGACGGCCCGGCTGTCCTTCCCTTTCTGCTCATGAGTGGGAGGCAACCACAGGAGGAGACAGGACAGGGAGACCAAAGCCCTGAGCGGGTCAAGGTTACCAGGGGGGTGACCAAATCCTATAAATCAGCAGTTCCAACCTTTTTGGCATCAGACACCGGTTTCATGGAAGACAATTTTTCCACAGACAGGCTGGGAGAGATTATCAGCATTAGATTCTCATAAGGAGCATGCAACCCAGATCCCTCACATGCGCAGTTCATGATAGGGTTCGCACTCCCATGAGATTCTAATGCCATCACTGACCTGACAGAGGCAGAGCTCCACCCGCCTGCCGCTCACCTCCTGCTGTGCGGCCCGGTTCCTAGCAGCCCACAGACCTGAGAGTTGGGGACCCCTGCTATAAAATCACGATGGGATGACAGTAACAGCTGCAGCTTGTAGTAGCTGTGCAAATGGCTGCCTCATGTACTGCATAACACCCCATGAGAGTTCCTATTATCTCCGACACGTCAGATTCGGCACAGAGAGGTTCAGTGATCTGCCCAGCCAGGGTCACATTCGAATCCGGGCAGAGCAAAGCCACATGCCTGCCCCAACAACCTGCTGTCCTGCTCTCTTCAGCTGAGCAGACTCCATCTTTCAAAGCACAGATCCCTGATTGGGAAAGGGGCAGAGTGGAGCTTGGGAGACTATTTTGGAAGAAAAGAAGCCAGCTACCTAACACACAGTTAGCGCGTACATGAAACCTCAACCTTCTCTGGCTTTCACTGGCCGGGGGAATCTTGGCTACTATCAACCCTTCTTATACTTTCTTGGCCACAGTTTTCTTGTTGGTAAAGTGGGCGCAACAATACTTACTGAGGGGTGACGGGCACAGCCTCTGGTATCAGACTCGGGTTCTACCCTGTTCTACTATGGGGACAAGTGACCTGGCCTCTCTGAACCCATCTCCTCCGGAAACAGGCACCTCCCGAGGCTGCTATATGGCTGAGATAAAGTCTGCAGCACATGCAGCACGGAGCCTGGTGAGCAGGGAGCGCCTGCAGATGGCAGCTGTCAGGATGAGGCCTCTACTTCCGCTGCCCCCGGTCCTCAATGCCTTGCACAGCTGTGTGCAGCAGGGAGCTCGAGAGGCGGTTTGCTGAGCACCAGAGCCGTGGCTGCAGGCAAGGCTATCCTCCACCTCTGGTCTGTCCTGGACAGCTGCCCTTCCCCGGCACCTTCCCAGCTGTCCGGACCTGGGGCTGACCCAGGAAGGAGGGCAGACAACAATGGGAAGGAGACAGTAAAGAAGCCACCTCGGAGAGCCTACCCATATGCCTGGAGAAGACGCCAGAGGCCTGCCTCCTGCCGGCAGCCATTAGCCAGATACCTGACCTGCTGGGAACCCAGCTGGGGTCATGGTGTGCCCAGGGGCTGGCCTCAGGCTCCCCAGCAGGTGCACTGATGTCTCTGAAGCCATGCCTTTGCCCTCTGTCTCCACGGCCACCCACTGCCCCCACACTCGCAGCTCACCTCCCCTTGTCCCGGGTGCCTGATGCTCAGAGCCTCGGTCTCCTCGTCCGTGAGATGGGCCCAGACCTAACACTTCCCGTGGGAGGGGGGTGCAGAGTCAGTCACACAGGGGCAGAGTGGGGGCTGCTGGCCCAGGCTCTGCCCCTCACCGGGCATGTAGTCTTCGACCCGCCCCAGCACGTCTCAAAGCTCCGGGTTTCCCATCTGTAAAACGAGGATCATGGGAATGGACGGGTAGCGCTGTGGGATTCACGAGATGGTTACATGAAATAAATCCACACAAGGTGCTTAGCGCTCACATGACCCAGGCAGAAGAAACAGGGGAGAAGGGGTAGCAGGGGCCTGCAGGACACAGGACAGCCTCAACGACTCTGGCTCCCACTGGGAGAGTGAACTTCTTGAGCAGAGAAGTGACATTCTCATAGGGCCCTCCTGTGCGGTACCGTGAGCCCGGATGGCAGGTGGGCAGTAAGGACAGTCAGAGGAGGCCCAGGGAGGAGGCCCAGGTGAGAGACTATGGCAGCTAGGCAGGGCAGGGTCGGGGAGCAGAGGAGCAAGGGGGAGAGAGTATATGTCCTGGACCTATCTGGAGGTAGGAATGGCAATTTGCTGACAAACCGGAAGCAGGCGAGAGGAAGGGAGGAACCAGGTGACTCCAGGGAAGGAGCAGCACCCCTGTGAGGGACGGCGAGGAGCTCACCTTGGGACATGGTAAGCAACAGGCCTTTGGGACATCAAGCGGGTGGGCAGCTGCCATGCTTGATGTCAGGGCAGGGGTCCTGGCGTGATGCATAAGCATGAGAGGTAACATTCAGTGGCATTTCAAGTCTCAATATGTGTCGTCTTTCTTTTTTTTTTTTTTTTTTTTTTTTTTTGAGTTGGAGTCTCACTCTGTCACCCAGGCTGGAGGGCAGTGGCATGCTCATGGCCACTGCAGGCTTGGCCTGCTGGACTCCTGTGATCCTTCTGCCTCAGCCTTTCAAGTACCTGGAACTACAGGCATGCGCTATCATGCCCGGCTAGTTTTTGATTTATTGTAGAAACGAGGTCTCGCCAGGTTGCCTGGGCTGGTCTTGAACCTGCGGGCTCAGGCAATCCTCTTGCCTCGGCCTCCCAAAGTGCTGGGGGTTACCAAGCCCAGTGATATGTGTCTTATTTCAAGGACAGCAGGAAGCCCGAGTCCCTGCGATGGCCAAACTGTCCCCATCATGGATGTCTGACGACGCTGGGTCCCGCCTCCCACCCACTGCACTTGCTGTTACCTCTGTCTACAGCTTCCTTTTCTCTTTGCTACACAGCCTGGCCCCCCTCTCCATTCTGGCCTTAGCCCAGATGCAGCCTTCTGAGAGGCCCACCACCATCCCAAGGCCTAGGGGCCCATGGGATGGCCTGTCTATCCCATTTCCTTCCTCATGATGGAGAATGAACTTGCTGTCTGCTGTTTACTCTCTGGCTCTGACCATCTCCACTCTCTCAGCAGAACAGAAGCCCCCAGGAAGGGAAGGGTAATCTGACAATTGCAGGGTGCAGCGTTAGAACCCACTCAAAGGCCCTGTTTGCCTACAAGCCAGGACTGGGTCAGTACCGGCCACCTGGGAAAGAATCTCTTGGTGCAGTCAGACCACGGCCACTTAGAAACCTGCTTCCTGCTTCGGGGACACTCCTGCACCCCCTTATACCACACTGAATCCTCAGCAGCTCTACTCAAATCTGCTGTGACACTCTCACCCAGCCAGATGCAAGAGCCCCAGCTGCCACCAGCCCACTGTCTTTTCTGGGGAGTTTTACAAGAGACTATAGGTGGATTTTTGTTGTTAATCAGCTTTCTTAGGCTGAAAGGTTTTTCTTTTTCTTTTTTTCTTTTGAGTTGGAGTCTCACTCTGTCACCCAGACTGGAGTGCAGTGGCCACTCCCGGCCACCGTAACCTCGACCTGCTGGGCTCCGGCTATCCTTCTGCCTCAGCCTTCCAAGTAGCTGGAACTACAGTGCACACCACCACGCCCGGCTAATTTTTAATTTATTGCAGAGATGAGGCCTCGCCAAGTTGCCCAGGTGGGTCTCGAACCCACAGGCTTAGGCAATTCACTCACCTTGGCCTCCCAAAGTGCTGGGATTACAGGCTGAGCCACC